ACTTCTGTATTGTGCTGTGAATTGTATTAAATCAAGAAGTGAGCTGTCTCTCCCTTTGGGAGTTAACATTGAGGGGAAATCCTTCTTGTAAAGGGCTTTTCACAGAAACTCGTGTCTGCAAATGCAGCCTTAGACAGGAGCTGGTTAAAATTCCTACAGCTTATGGCAGCATGTACTACTTGGATTCTGAGAAACAACTGTGAAACTGTTGTCTTTTACTGTGGTCTCCTGAGAAGTACAGCTTTTCCTTTTTGGATTCCCTGTGCGTGGTAAACTTGAGGGCTAAGGCTTATCGAGAGAAGTCTGAGACAGTTTCCCATAGGTCTCATGAGTTTCAAAGCGTCTCCTGAGACAAGGTACTGACCACCTTTCCTCTGGGTTAGCTTTCCCTGGATATTTGTATAGCAGATAGCTTTGGTAAAGATAGCATCTTCCTCCAAAGGAAAAAGCAGGTTTGCTTACTATCCACAGTATTAATGTTAATTACAGCCTCAGGTTAAAGATCAGACTGGCTTATCATCCTTCATTAAAGAGCTGGAAACCATCAGCTTGAGTTTCCTCTCTTACAACCCAACCAGCAACATCCCACAGCAGGCATCTGGTCCTCTTCATGTCATTCTTTGGCAACTGGGGTCTGGTGAAGTAGCATCAAAATGCTAATACTGTGGTAACTGCTGGTTTTCTGAGTAATAAGCTGTCTTTTCTCTCTGATCTACAAGCCTGCCTCAGCAAGGATCCAGGATACTACAACAGGCAAACTTGCTACCTGGCAAGTAGGGTAAAATGTCAGGGTAAAATGTCCTTTATAGTCTGTCAGCAATGACAGCTTCAGGGGAGACTGGGTTATCTGAGTACTCACTTTCAAAAAGCAAAATCGTATTTGGGATTTCTGTATCCCTCACTATCTATACTAACCAATCTAGCACTCTTGCCTCGTTCTTCAAAAAACATGTCATGTTCCTAGACCAAAACTCACCTAAAACTCTTAGTCATTCCTGCTTTATCCACAATCCTCCCTTTGTCACTTAGTGACAGAATGGAGCCAGGTTGCCAGGCACAGTGGTGCATGCCTGTAATTCTAGAGGCTCAGGAGGCTAAGGCAGAAGGATCAAAAGTTCAAAGCCAGCCTCAGCAATTCAGTGATTGCCCCAAACAACTTCGTGAGACTCTGTCTCTAAATAAAAATGTATAAAAAGGGTTGGGGGTATGGCTCAGTGGTCACCCCTGGGTTCAAACCCTGGTACCAAAAAAAAAAAAAAAAAGAATGGAGCCAGATTCCCCTGCTAGTTCGTGTTTAAAAGAGAATTGGGGATATGGTTTTCTCCTTTGGATTAAGCAAAACAGGAATGTCTTATTACTTATTCCTTTTTGATATTTTTAAACTAGTTTGCTGAAGCCTAATTGATTTGTAAAAAGTTTACATATTTAACGTATACAAATTAATGAGTATGGATACAAGTGTAGAACCATGAAAACATCACTATAAACATAACCATCCCCTTCAAAATTTTCCTTCTACCCTCTTTATTGGTGTGTGTGTATGTGTGTGTGTATGTGTATTAACAACACTCAACATAAGTTCTAGCCTCATACCAAATTTTGAGGATATAATACAATGTTATTTACTACAGGCACCACCCTATAAGTAGATCTCTAGGACTTATTCATGTTGTTTAACACTGTATCCTCTGACTACCACGACCCTGCTCCTTACACCCCCATTCTCTGCTCCTATCAGTTTGACCTTTTCAGATCCCTCACATTAGTGGTATCATGTAGTGTTTGTCCTTCCGTGTCTGGCTTATTCCACTTGGTTTAATGGCCTCCAAGTTTATAAATGTTGTTGTAAATGGCAGACTTTCTTTTAAAACATGAATAATTTTCCATTGTATGTATATGTCACATTTTTTTAGCCATTCTTCTGTTGATGGACACTTACGTTGCTTCCATATCTTGACTAGAATAAATAAAGGTATGAACATTGAATGCAGACATCTCTTCCAGATCTTGATTTCAATGCTTTTGGGTATATGCCCATAAGTAGGATTTCTGGATCAGATGCTAGCTCTATTTTTAATTTTTTGAGAAACTTCCATACTGTTCTTCATTTGCTTCACCAATTTACATTTCTATCAACAGTGTTCAAGGGTGCCCTTTCCTCCATACCCTTTCAACCCTTGCTATCCTTTTCCTTAAATAGCTATTCTAATGGATGTATGATAGTTCATGTGGTTAGATTTGCATTTTCCTGGCAATTAGTGATATTAAGTACCTTCATATGCCTGTTGGTTAGGTGTATGTCTTTTTTGGAGAAATATCCATTACAGTTTCCTTGCTCATTTTTTAAATCAAATTATGAGTTTTCTCTTGTTGAGGTTTGGGGTTTCTTTACATATTTCAAATATTAACCTTTGTTAAATATTTACAAATATTTCCTCACTTTCTTTGGGTTGCTTTTTTATTTTGTGATTTCCACTGCTGTGCAAAAGCCGTTTATTTGATATAATCTCATTTGTCTTATTTTTCTACCTGTATTTTGGCATTAAATCCAAGAAATCATTATTAAGATCAATGTCAAGAAGTTTTCCCCCTATTTTGTCTTTAAAGATTTTTATATTTCAAGTCTGACAATTCTTTAATGTATTGGAGGTGGGGCGGGGGGTAACAGAGATTGAACCCAGGGTCACTTAACCACTGAGAGCCACATCCCCAGACCTTTTTATTTTTTATTTTGATACAGAGTTTCGCTGTGTTGCTTAGGGTCTCACTAAGTTGCTGAGGCTGGCTTTGAATTTGCAGTCCTCTGCCTCAGCCTCCTGAGCTGCTGGGATTACAGGTATGTGCCACCTCACCTGGCTCTTTTATGAATTTTGAATTGTTCTTTTGCCTGTAAATATCCAATTTTCTCAGTCCCTTTTATTCAAGAGACTCTATTTTCCCCAGTGTGTATTCTTAGCATTCTTTTGAAGATCAGTTGACTGTATATGAATGAGTTTATTTTTGGACTTTCCACTCTGTTCCATTGGTTTATATGTCTTTTTATGCCCATACCATACTATTAATTACTGCAGCATTACAAATATATTTTGAAATCAGGAATTCTGATGCCTCCATCTTTATTCTTTCTCAAGACTATTTAGTCTATTCAAGGTCTCTTCTAGTCCACTATGAATTTTAGGAGTTCTTTTCTATTTCAGTAAAAAAGAAAAAAAAATGCCATTGGGATTTTAATAGAGATTGCATCAAAACTGCAGATCGAGGGTAGTATGGACATATTAACATGGCATGTCTTTCATTTATTTGTACCTTTTTGAATTTTTTCATCAATGTGTTTTGTAGTTTTTTTTAACAAGATTTTCATCACCTAGATTAACCTTATTCCTAAGTATTTTGTTCTTTTTAATGCTAATGTGTATGAGATAATTTTCTGGATTTCTTTTTTGGGTAGTTCAGTAGTGGTGCATAGAAATGCAACTGATTTTTGCATGTTGGTTTTGTAGTCTGCCACCCTACTGAATTTATTAGTTATAATAGTATTTTGGCAGAGTCATCATAATTTTCTTCATATAAGATTATGTCATCTATGAACAGATAATTTTACTTCTGTCTTTCCAAATTAAATACCTTTTTATTTATTTTTCTCAACTAATTGGTCTGGCTGGAACTTCCATTACTACATTGAAGAGAAGTGGTAGGAGTGGGTGTCCTTGCTTTGTTCCAGACCTTGGAGAAAAATCAATTTTTCACCCACTATGTTAGCTGTGGACTTCTCATACACAGACTTTATCATGTTGAGGTAATTTCCTTTTATACCTAATTTCTTGATAACTATGTTATTCTTTCATAAAAAGATGTTGAATTTTTTCAAATGATTTTTCTTCCTTTTGGGGGATGATCATGTGATTTTTTTATCCTTCATTGTTAATTGACATGGATGGGTCACATTGATTGATTTCTCTATGTTAAGTCATCCTTTCTCACTAGGGATAAATCCCATTTGGTCATGAAGTATGATCGTTTTAAAGCGCTACTGAATTCGACTTTCCAGTTGTTTTGTTGAGGAATTTTTCATCTACGTTTATCAGAAATATTGTCCTGTAGCTTATTTGTGGTGTCTGTGTCCAACTTTGGTATGAGGGTTTTTCTAGCTTTATAAAATGACAGTGGAAGTGTTTCCTTTTCTATTTTCTGAAAACATTTTAGAAAAATTGGTATTGATTCTTTAAATCTTTGGAGTAATCTACCCAAAAAAGCATTTAGATCTAGGCTTTTTTTTCCTTGGGAGATTTTTGATTACTAACTCAGTCTTTGCCTGTTGGTCTATTCAGGCTTTCAAGCTCTTGATTCAGTCTTGGTAGATTGACTATTTTTAGGAATTTCTCTATGGATTCTAAGTTGTTAGATTTGTTGGCCTATCATTGCTCATAATAGTCCTTTATAATCTATTTTTTATATCTTTGATATCAACTGGAATATCTTCACTTTCATTTACAATTTTATTTTTCTGAATCTTCTCTCATTTATTCTTAGTCTTGCTAAGGGTTTATCAATTTTATCTTCTCAAAAAAAAAACTCCTATTAATTCCATTGATTCCTTCGATTAGTGTTTATTTCTACTGCACTCGTTTTTGTACTAATCTTTATTATTCCATTACTCCTGCAAATTTTGGACTTAGATTCTTCTTCCATGCCTCATACGGCCAAGGCTAATTATACACCTAATCCAAGATCTGATGGAAGGGTTTCTGTATGATCAGGAAATTGTTTTAAACCAATAATCTGTTATTATTTCAAATTTTATCAAAAACTACTTTTACCTCTTACCTAAATTTGCTTCAATTTGATTGTAAATATAATTAACATAATTTATTTTATTCTTAAAGAGATTCATTTTTCATGTATTTTCTACAGAAAGCATTCAAGTTAGCTATTAATATTTACTCATATTGAATTAAGTTCTTCCTAGAATGGGATAAGGCAGGGGGTGGATATCATCTCACCTTAAAAATATTTTTCACATGACCAAAATTGCAAGGAATATCTAATTTTTCAAGTAATCTATGAGTTTTTTCTACGTTAATTTTTCCACCTCTAAATTCATCCTGAATCTTCGACAAAAACCATGTATGAAGCAAAGATAGTTAAGGAAATTCTCAAAGAAAGTCATTGAATGTTTAAAATTCTTAAATATTTTATCTTTCTTCAGTTTACAGTATTTATTTTAATTTTAAAAGATGATGTATTTATGATGAAAGTAAATGACAAGATATGATAAATAATATTTAAAACAAAATTAAAAAGTTACTATTCTGTAGTAAAGATATGAAAGGGCATAACAAAAACAAAATACCAGAAATGAAATTATTACTTGGGAAACACATTAAAACCCTGTTACAGGGCGTTGCTTGGACTTGACAGGCTGCTGGGCTCCAAGATTCTCTCTCACTTTACTTCCTTCACGCAGAAAGGTGGGAAAAATGATACTTAATCTTCTGGAAGTTTTAACATTAAATAAATTCACATTATGTCACTGAACACAGATTTTGCTACTGAGCATTCAAAATACAGTAACAATGAGTAAATACTATTATAACTTTATTCAAATGTCCAGTTTAATATATGCCGCCAATGTAACATTCTAGGAACAATCAATAAGGCTTCAAAATACCTTGATAACTATATATTTGGTACAAGGGACAAAACTAAAATAATCTAGTATACTTGTTAATATTTTAGATACACTACAAAAATTAGGACACTTCAATCTAAAAACTAAGGTTAAGATAAAATAATCTAGCAATCTATAAAATCATAAAGGCTACAGATAAATACTGTTCGAAATCCCACTCAATTTCAGATTGTCGGAACCTATGAAAAGTCTTCAAATTGAATGGCCATGTAACAAAATGTGTGTTCTTATATAGGACAAGCCACAGGAAAGTGCAGGACAGATAAGGGAAGAAAGCCATAGTTCACACTTAAGTGAGAGACTTGAGTCTGGTACTTTTCTAAAAAGAATGAGAAAAAGAGTCAAAGAGGATAAACTAAGAAAAAGACGAGGAAAAAGGAACAGAAAGAACTTTGCAATGGATATCTCGTTTCCATATTTTCATGACTTGTCCTGAAGTTTCTCCTTGCTTAGAAGTCTGTCCTCAGTAGGTGTTGTCACAGGTTCCAAATGTAACTAACTCTGCCTCTCTGTGGAAAAGGAATTTCTTGGTAGTCATCGGCTGTTGCCACTGCCACCACTTTTCTAGGGAGAAAGCAAAGAACACACAGTGGTTTGTTGCCTTTGTTCTTTGAAACGAACATAATTAAATAGCACGGAAACATCACATAAGACATGGTCCTGCCCAACCTTTTGGGTTTCTTACGTTTTCTAACCACAATGTTTATAAATGCCACATCCCTTGCTGTCCAGCACTTTTCTGTTGACTACTGCTATATCTCATTTTATTTTTACCATTTTGTTCAAAGCCTTCAAACGTCTCATCACAATGTGCTTCCAGTGGATTGGGGCAGCTATTCTAAGGGCCTGAGTAAAAATCAATGCCATTGTGATCCTTGAAGATTGGAACATGCTGTCAAACACTCCCTAGAAACTCTGGGCAGCTTCTCTTGGTCCCTGACAACATACAACGCACATAGACACACACCACTTTTGAAGAAGCCTGTTCAGGAGGCTAAGTTCTTAAAATCTTCAAAATTGGTATAGCTGGTTGACTGGGCACCACGCTGTCAGGTGACTGTCATTTTTTCTTTTGGTCTGAACACCCATTGTGATATCATCAAAAGTTCCACGCTTCATAAAGAAGCGTGACTTTATGACTTCACTGGGAGACTCAGAGCTTGCCAGCCTGTCTGTTTTCATGGGTGGACATAATGATCTCAAGCTTGAATGATTAACACCTTGATGGGAAACGTGTCCCATGGAATGTTTTCTCATCCTCTGAACACTCATTTCAGAAGCTTTGCTTCTGCTGTAACCAAACATGTCACTTAGCGTCCTAAGTAGGAAAGAGAAAGAAAAAGTAATTCGCAGACTATTAATACAGGCACCTCCAGGGGAATTTGTAAATGCCTTTGATGATCTCTGTCTGCTTATACGTGATGAAAAACTCATGCACCATCAAGGTGAGTGTGCAGGCCACCAACATTGCCAAAAATATTCTGTTCCACTCTGCATCGATGGAAATCCAGTACTCTTATCTCACCACAATGTAATGGGTGACTACCGATTTTTTGACTATCAAAGCAAACTTTCTTTCAAATTTGACCTGCTTCAAAATCAGTTGAGAGACATCCAAAGCCACGGTATTATTCGGAATGAGACTGAATATCTGAGAACTGTTGTTCTGTGTGCCTTAAAACTCTACGTTAATGACCACTTTCCAACGGGAAACTGCAATGTGCTGAGAAAAACTATCAAAAATAAGGAGTTCTTGATAGCTTGCATCGAGGATCACAACTATGAAACAGGAGACTGCTGGAATGGCCTTTGGAAATCTAAATGGATTTTCCAAGTGAATCCATTTCTAACCCAAGTCACAGGAAGAATTTTCCTGCAAGCTCACTTCTTCAGGTGTGTCAACCTTCATGTCAAAATATCTAAGGACCTGAAAGAAAGCTTGGAAGTAGTTAACCAAGCTCAATTGGCTCTAAATTTTGCAAGACTTGTGGAAGAGCAAGAGAATAGATTTCAAGCTTCCGTCTTAGACGAATTACAGGAGTTATCCAATGAAGCCCTGAGAAAAATTATACGAAGGGATCTTCCAGTGACCCGCACTCTCATTGACTGGCAGAGGATACTCTCTGACTTGAATCTGGTGATGTATCCTAAGTTAGGATATGTCATTTATTCAAGAAGTGTGTTGTGCAACTGGATAATATAAAGGATTGCTCCTGGTAATTGTCTTGGCCTGACTTGGTGTGTTTCTGGCAAACAGATGTTTTCCTAAAGGTGAGCAATCCCTAGAGATGCCTAGTCCATCCAAGTTCACATAGGGAAAAGTATAAAAAGTCATTTCACTCAGGCAGTATTCACCAATATGGCAAGAAAGTGTGGAGCCAATGTATTTCACAGTGTTATCTACCATAAAAGCAGACATTTATTAGAATCTAAAATAGCTTTATAGAAGTGGCACTCTAGAAATGTATGAGTGGCCAGGATTAAGGCCGTGTGTGTGTGTGTGTGTGTGTGTGTGTGTATGTGTGTGTGTGTAGAAATGAATTCTTACTGTCTTTGGAACTGAGAAGTTATGCAAATGAACATCACTCTGCAAGTGATATCTTACATAATTCAATTCAGTCCTAGACCAGCCCTGAAAGCGTAGATTTCAACAAATGACATTAGATTTGGATGTTCCATGTAACCAACTGATATCAGAAATCTGGTCTAGATAAAGAACTGTTAGTAAACTTGGCTCCACTGCCACTATACTCTGTCCTCCCTCTCCACCCAACCAAGAATTTGGGATTACTCTAAATCCCTGGGCTTGTCTTGCAAGTCAACCCAAAAGCCTGACCTCCCAGCCTTGTATAGTGGAACCCTTGTGAAATCGTCACTGTAAACACTTCTAAGTGCTTACTGCCTAACGTGTCTTCATCTAAATGTTTTTCATATAACCTTTCATCATTAGCCTGGTCCTAGTATTATCTCCATTTTACATAAGAAGAACCTAAGATTTCAACTTGTTTAAGTCATCCAGGCACACAACATTTTACTCTGTTCAGCTGTTACAATAGAGTATCGTAAACTGGGTAGCTAATAAACAACCAAAATTCATTGCTCTCAGTTCTGGAGGCTGAGAAATCCAAGTCTGAGGTGCAAAATAGGTTCATTATCTGCTGAGGGCCTGTTTTCTTTTTCAGAGTGAGAGGGAAATGCAGCTTTCTGGAGCTTCTTGCATAAGGGCACTAATCTCACATGACCCTCCCAAGGCCTCACCTCCTAATATCATCATCTTGGGGATTAAGTTCCAACATCCAGACCACCACCCATAGTGACAGGCATGTATGACTCTAGAGCCCATGGTCAGATGTCATGGCTCTCCACAGAGGCCTGTGGCATTAAGAGTAATAAACTCTGCTGGACAGTGATTTAGGCAAGCATTCTACTAACAGATAGAAATGGGACCTTTCTAGAAGAAATGATGCTTTCTAGTGAAAAGAAGCTTCCTGTACTATCACACCACCAACCTTCCCAGAACCATTACCACTTAAAACCTCCTTAAAAGACTATGGGAGAACAGTAAGTAGGCATGCAATTGGGAGGGGGAAAGGGATCTAATTCTACTTAATAAACATTAAAGTAGACAAGATTCTATTCAAGAATTTCTAAAACTCAATTAATCTCTTTTCCCTAATTAGTGATTCTTAGAGAATATCAGAATTATCTGGGATGCGTATTTAAAATTAAAATTACTGGGGCCTATGTTGAGATTCTAAGTAAGTTGGGAGACATCTCTCTCCCTCCCCATGCCCCCTCTTTTCCTGTGTTTAAAGCCCAGGACCTCTTGCAGGCTAGGGAAGCGTTCTACCATTGAGATATGCTTGCGTTCCAGGGAGGTATACATTTTTAACAAGCATCAGAGATGACTCCAATACAAAGGAAATTGGAACCATGTTTTGGGAAATACTGCCCTATTCTTAAAATAGCACATTTTTTTCTTTCTATTTAATTAAAATAATTTCCCACAAAATTATTATCCAATAAAAGTCATTTCCACTACTCACTGGAGTCACTGCATGGACAAAGACAGGCTTCCATCTGTGAAAAGGGTGAGGAAAAACTTTCTAAAATAGAAAATAAAAGTGGTTTTACAACACTAAAATTGAGACATTGTGTGAATTCTTTAACAAAAATTTGATTGATATTATAGTTTTACGTGTCAGTGTTTTCTAGACGGTGCCAGAATAGGACTCAATGGTTTATGAAACATAATCTACACATTGAGTTCCCTCTTCTAAAGCATGTTTTCAAAAATGTTGTTACTAATATTTCTATATATAGAAGTCACATTGACAAATTGTGGAAAAGCACTCAAGATATAATGTATTTTGACCTATTTTCTTTCACCCAATTTTATGGAATTCTTTTAATTTTTAGGATTTTGCGGCTTTTAAAATTTGAATTCTTTTTTACATAATGCATGATCATAAGTATTCTCCCATGTCATTTAAAACTCCTGAGCACATAAATTATTATGTTGCATTCATGCTATAGATGCACCGTAGCATGACAGTCATTTCTCTCTTCAAATGTAATTTTAGTTCTTAACATTTTGTTATTAATTATACTGTAGTGCACATTTCTTTGTCCACACTATGGATAATTTCCCTTAAGATAAATTCCCTAAAGTTGCATATTGAAAAGACAATGAAGATATTAATTCTCTTAATACCCATTGCCAAATTGTTTTCCAGAAAAATTTTAACAAATTTATACTCCCTGCAGTCACATTGGAAGAATGTCTATCTCACTAATCTTTATTATATTAAATATCACATTTTTCTTTAATCAGCAATGAACCTTAAAACAATACAAAACAAAACAATAGAAAGGTATCCCCTTAACTTATGCCACATTACCACATGAAACCAAAACCACTACTAC